ATGACCTGGCACCTGAGCTGCGCAGGAGGAAGAGAGCGGCTTGGAATGCCTTCAAGAGCATCGAAGAAATAGCTAAGAGGATGAAGAACCTCTGGCTCAGGGCACATCTCTTTGATTCCACTGTTCTTCCTGCATTAACATATGCCTCAGAGACCTGGGCCCTACGCAAACAGGATGAGAACGCTATTCGGGTCTCCCAAAGAGGAATTGAAAGAGCTATGCTTGGAATATCACGTTTCATTCGAATGAGAGAAAGAATCTGGAGTTCTGACATCCGTCGACGATCAAGAATCAGGGACGCTGTCTCGTTTGCCAAAGTGTCAAAAATCAGATGGGCTGGTCACGTAATGAGATTTAAAGACGACCGCTGGACTAGAGCTGTTACCGACTGGATTCCACGGGATGTCAAAAGACCGCCTGGCTGCCCACCTACCAGATGGTCAGACTTCTTCATCAAGATCATGAACGTTCGGTTTGAGGCTCTTCATGTTCCTAGAGCGAACAGACGCCATTGGGCTACACTAGTACGTGACAGGGACAAATGGAGACGTTACTGGCGCCCGCTCGAGCAAATCGACGATTAACAGGACGTCAAGTGATCAAGTAGTTGTGGAACCTGTTTGGGCCACACCCAGCAGTGGTCAGGGCTTAGTCCTGACCTTGTGCCCAGGGTTTACTATTGGTGGTGCTTAGGAGGACTTTATGTAGTGCTTAGGGAACTATATACAATGTGGGGGATTGAATAGGGGTAGGATGCATGCGAGACAAGTGCCTTAACCCCTATACTATTCTCCAGCCCCTGTATTACTTTACTGTGTCTGGTTTTCTTCACCATAATAATTTTGAAAGTCATGTATGCTGTATGTCTCTCGTGAATGTAGGCCTAGAGGTGCCCAAACACCCCCTAGAGGCCCAAACTTTGAACTTTGAAGCCTATACCACTGGAATAGCTCTCAGCACATATACCTGCCCCACTCAGTAGAACTGGAGGAAGGATTCTATAAAAAAAAAACAAACGGGCAGCAGAAATAACACAGAGGCACTTGCCTTGTATGTAGCTGACTGGGCTGGCCAACTCATTCTCTCCCTGGCACTGCATACGGTCCTCTAATCACCACCAGGGGTCACTCATGAGCACAAGAGCCAGCTGAGCACATCTGGTTGGCCCAAAAACTTACAAACCAACAAACAAAAAAATCTGTATCCAGCAGTCACTTCCTAGTCCTCTCCAGCAACTATTAAGCTACTTTCTATTTATTTTATCTTGTTTTATTTATTGTTTTTTGTGGGGCTGGAGCGATTACACAGCGGAAGGGCGTTTGTCTTGCACGCAGCCAGCCTGGCTGAGCCGGGTTCGATTCCTCCACCCCTCTCGGAGAGCCCGGCAAGCTACCGAGAGCATCTCACCCGCACGGCAAAGAACGGCAAGCCACCCGTGACTTATTCAATATGCCAAACAGTAACAACAAGGCTCACAATGGAGACGTTACTGGGCCCGCTCGAGCAAATCGATGAACAACGGGAGGACGGTGTTTGTTTTGGTTGTTTGTTTTGTGGGACTACACCTAGTGGTGCTCAGGGCTTATTTTTGGCTCTGTGCTCAGGGATCATTCCTGGCTAGTGGCTTGAGGGACCACACATGTGGTGCCAGGGTTTCAAACCCAGGTCACCTGCCTGCTGCTGGACTATTTCTCTGGCCCCTATTTTATTTTATTTTAGGTTTTTGGTCCACACCCTGCACAGATCAGGGTTTTACTTGGCCCTGTACTCAGGAGTCACCCCTGGCAGTGTTTATGGGAATATATGTGGTACAAGGGATCAAACTGGGTTGTATGCAAAGCATATAATTTAATTATTTATTTATTTATTTATTTTGGTTTTGGGGTTACACCTGGTGATGCTCAGATCTTACTCTGGGCACGGTGGCCAGGAAGCACTTATGGAGGGGGTTAGGGCACTATATAGGACACTGGGATCAAACCCAGGTCATCTTTGTGCAAGACAAATGCCCTACCTGCTGTGTTATTTCTCCAGCCCCACAACGTGACTTTCTATTAAGCTTATTTTGTTTTGTCTTTTGGTTTTGGGGTACACCTAGCAATGCCCAGGGGCTACTTGTGGTTCTCACTCAGGAATTACTCCTGACAGTGCTTGAGGGACCATATGGGATGCCAGGGATCGAACAGGGATTGAATCGGCCATGTGCAAGACAAGCACCCTACGTACTATACTATCGCTCTGGACTCTCAACATGACTTTTTTTGGGGGGGGGTCTTTTGGTTCCACCCAGCGATGCTCAAGGGTTACTCCTGGTTCTACACTCAGGAACCACTCCTGGTGGTGCTCAGGGGACCATATAGGATGCTGGGGATTGAACCTGGGTCAGTCATGTGCGAGGCAAATTCTCTACCTACAGTACTATCACTCCAGTCCCACAACATGATTTTTTAAATTAGCGATTAGACTTAAAATTAAAGGTAAAAGGTAAAGGCCCTCCCGTTGATCGTCGATTTGCTCGAGCGGGCCCAGTAACGTCTCCATTGGAGACTTTGTTGTTACTGTGTCTGGCGTATCGAATACGTCACGGGGAGCTTGCCAGGCTCTGCCGTGCGGGCGAGATACTCTTGGTAGCTTGCCGGGCTCTCCGAGAGGGGCGGAGGAATCGAACTCGGGTCGGCCATGTTGGATGCATGCAAGGCAAACGCCCTACCGCTGTGCTATCGCTCTAGCCCAGACTTAAAATTAGACTTGAACAAATACTTTATTTAAAAAATATGAAAATAGTCAATGAGCACAAAAAATATGACCAACATTATAAATCATCAGAGAATTGCAAGTAAGACCAAAAAAAGAACTATTTTACCCATTGTAGAATGTCTCATGAAAAAGACTGATAATGTTAAATAGTGGCCATGCTGTGAAACAACTATAATTTCCATACATTGATTCTGAAAATTTAAAATTAAACTATTTTGGAGAGCCTGGCAGTTCCTTACAAACTTAAATTACACTGATGATTCCAGCAGCCTCACTCCTATTTACTCAAGAAAAATAAATGCATATATCCACACAGAAATATTCACAGGTTTGGTCATGGAAGACTGAAAATAACTCAAGTTCCCATATAAGAGTGGAAAAGGGGCTGGGGAAATAGCACAGTGCGTAGGGTGTTTGCCTTGCACGTGGCCGACACGGGTTTGATTTCCAGCATCCCATATGGTCCCCTGAGCACCGCCAGGGGTAATTCCTGAGTGCATGAGCCAGGAGTAACCCCTGAGCATCACTTGGTGTGACCCAAAAAGCAAAAACAACAACAACAAAAATAAATAAAGAAGACCAACTGTGTTTGTATCTTATTTTATTTATTTTTCTAATTTTATTTATTTATTGCTTTTTGGGTCACACCTGGTGATGCACAGGGTTTACTCCTGGCTCTGTACTCAGGAGTTACTCCTGGCCCTGCTCAGGGGACCGTATGGGATGCTGCTGGGACTCAAACTTAGGTCGGCCGCGTGCAAGGCAAACGCCCTACCCGCTGTGCTATCTTTCCAGCCCCTGTGTAGATAGATAGATAGATAGATAGATAGATAGATAGATAGATAGATAGATAGATATAGATATAGATACATTTTTTAAAGCTTTTTTAAAAAGTGGAAAAAATGTTTAGTTTGTGTGCCAAGGATGGAATTCAGGTCCTCCATATGCAAAGTATGTGCTCCACCACTGAGCCACATTCCCGGTTCCTAGGTTGGCCTGTGGGGGGGGGAGGGGGCGTTGGGGGCGTTGGGGGCTTGGGAGGCGAGGGGGGTTGGAGGGGAAGGTACTGAAGATGGAACTGTGGCCTAACCCTTTTTCCTTTTTTACAGTAAGAATCACAGGCAGAGCAACAGTACATCAGTAGAATATTTACTGTGCATGTGGCTGGCCTGGATGGTCCCCCAATTTTCACCAGGATCACCCCCTGAGCACAGAGTTAGGGATAAAGAGCACAGCCAGGAGTGTCGTCCCCCCCCTAAAAAAAAGGAATCACACAGATCAAAGAAATTTCCTTTTTTGTTTGTTTGGCCACACCCAGCAACGTTCCGGGTTACTTACTCCTGGCTCTGCACTCGGGAATTACTCCTGGCGGTGCTGGGGTGGGGGTGAGAGACCAAATGGGACTGAGGATGGAACTCCGTTTGCATGCGAGGAAAGCTCCCTACCCACTGTACTACTGCTCCGCCCCCTACTTTGTTTTTTAATCCTGAAAGTACAACGTCTGGGGTCCAGAACTAGCTCAAGGGGCTGGAGTGCATGCTGTCCATGCCGGATCCCAGGCTTGCACGTCTGGGAGAACCTAGTCAGGAATCGGTCCCGGCATTGTAGGGCGTGGCCAAAAAGCCAAACGGGGCGGCCCGGAGGGGGCGACGCTGTGAAACGTTCTGTCTTTCAGAACCTACGGGTTGGGCAGGGGAGCTCAAGGACCGGTTCACTTGCTTTGGACGCAGGGGCCCTGGCTCCATCCCTTGCGCAGCGCGGTCCCGCTCGGGGACCCGCCAACCCCAGCACCGCTGGGTGTGGCCCCAAGCAAAAACCAGAAAAGAACCTGAGTTTTTCCTGTTTCTCGACTGTACATTCCAGGACAGCAGGTTTCGTGACTCTTGTTCGATCTGTCCGCCCGGTGTCCGGCTCCCCGCAAGCGCGCAACAGACGAATGAATGAAAGAAAGAACAGCTCATTGGTGGACATCGGCGGGCTTCGGCCGCCGTCCCGGGGCTTCCCACTTGCCCACCCCCTCCACCCACCGCCGCGGCTGGGCGGTGTTCGCGGCCGACCCACAGGGGCCGGCAGAAGTGCCCGCCGCGGAGGCGGCGCGCGGGAGGGTCAGGGTCCGGCCCCGCGGCCAGGAGCGTGCGTGGCGTCGGGCGCCCACGGGGCGGCGGCGGGGCACGCTCGGGCGGGCGCGGCGGGCGGGCCGACAGACCGGCGGGCGGCGGACGGCGGACGCGGGAGCGGAGCCCGCGGTGCCCCAGCGGGGGCCGCCTCGCGCGGGCCGGCGCGGCCGGACGCGGACCCCGCGGAGGTGAGGCCGGGGGCTGTCCCGCCCCCGAGGGAGGCCCCGAGCGCGCGCCCCGCCCCGGCGGCCGGCCGGGCGTGGGCTCCGGTTCCCGCCCCGCCCGGCCCGGTCTGCTCGCGAACGCGCGCGGGCGCCGCCGGCTCGGGTTGCCGGGTGAGGGGCGCGGGGGGCGCGGCGAGGATTCCGGGCCCGGAGCGCGGCCGGGCGGGGCCGCACCCCACCGCGGCGTCTCCGCGCCCACCGCGCTCCGGTTTCGCGGCCCCCCGCCCCGCCCTCGGCGAGCAGCCGGCCGCTTCCTCATTCCCGCCCGGACCCCCTCCGCACCCGCCGGGCTGCCCCCGCAGCGCCCCGCCCGGCCCCTCCCGCCCCCCGCTCTGCCCCGCTCCGCGGCCCCTCGGGTCGGCCTGGGCGGTCCTCGAGCGCCCCGGCTGCGGGACGGGAGGCGGTGCGGACGGGTTCGACAGGGACCCGGGCCGGGCTGGAGGCGGGCGGGCCTCGGAAGGGAGGGCCAGGCAGCTGCGTGGGCGTCCGAGCGGGACTGGGGGTCAGCGGGAGCGAGGTGGGTGGAAGGGGAGGCAGCGGGAGGCGGAGGGCCGCGGGGCGAGTGTTTTGCACGGCTGATCGCCTCCCTGAGAGCTCCCCGTGTTCCTAGATGACGGCGACCCCCGAAGGCCTCTTCCCCTCTGGGGAGGATCTGGACTCCAGCCAGTTGCAGATGGAACCCGATGAGGTGGACACTCTGAGGGAGGGAGAGGACCCAGGTACACAGGCCCCGGCCTCAGAGACCCTGAAGGGGCTAGATCTCCTGGGAGGTTGTCTTCCATCTTCTTTCCTTCCAGCCGACCGGATGCACCCCTTTCTGGCCATCTACAACATTCAGCCTCTGAAAACACATCCTTTGGTGTTTGCTCCCGGGGTCCCTGTCACGGCCCAGGTGGTGGGCACTGAAAGATACACCAGTGGATCTAAGGTGACCTGGTGAGGGCGGGATGAAGAGCTGACCCCACGGGGGAGTGGAACCCAACGGTGCATTCATTCCCTTCTCTTGCCCTCCAGGTGGGGACATGCACTCTGTATTCTGTCCGCTTAACGCATGGCGACTTTACCTGGACAACCAAGAAGAAGTTTCGTCATTTCCAGGAGCTGCACCGCGACCTCCTCAGACACAAAGTCTTGATGAGTCTGCTCCCTTTGGCCCGGTGAGGGCTGAGGGTGACCAGGCTGCTTCCTTCCTGCAGAGGGCAGGGATGAGGGGCAGGCTGCCACTGGCCCAGCTCCATCACTCCCTTCTGCATCCTCCCCCAGCACTTTCCTTCCCAACTCTGACCACTGGCCCTACTTGTTACCTGCAACCCTTCCCTCCTCTGCTCATGCCCAGTTTGACCTTAGCTGCCTCTCCTCTGTTTGGGAGGGGTTTGGGCCCTTGGATCAAACCCAACAGTGCTTGGGACCCTTGTGGTGCCGGGGATCCAGCAGGTTTTGTCGCATGCAGGCAAGCACTTTAACCTCTGTGCGTTCTTCGACTCCCTTCTTTTTATTTTTATTTATTTTTTTTATTTTGTTTTGGGGCCCCTGCCAGTGCTCGGGGCTTACTCCTGACGCTGCACTCAGGGATCACTCCTGTTGGTGGTCAGGGGACCATACTGGGTGCTGGGGATTGAACTTGGGTTGGCTACCTGGCGGCAGGCACCTTCCCCGTCATACTATCGCTCCGGCCCAGCCTTCTCTCTTTTCTTGTCTTCATTCTAAGGGGAGAAGACTTCAGTGATGCCAGCTTGAAGATCTCCTTCCTGCCTTGAAGACCCCATTGCTAGTGCTCCGGGGTCCGAAGACCTGACCTCTGGCTCTTAGTTGTCCTCTACTGTCCCTCCCTTCCACAGCTTTGCCATAGCCTACTCTCCAGACCGAGATGCAGCCAACACAGAGATTCCGTCTCTCCCCCGAGCAGGCCCCGAGGGCTCCACTAGGCATGCATCCAGCAAACAGGTTTGTGCGGACACCAGGCCTCTGGGAAGACCGTTGGTGGGCAGATGACCCTGATTCCAGCTCTCCTTCTCCTATTCCTTCTTCAGAAATACCTGGAAAATTACCTCAACCGCCTCCTGACCATGTCTTTCTACCGAAACTACCATGCCATGGTAAGGTTTCCAGAAATAGGATAAAACAGACCCCCAACAAGCAGAGGACTAGAGTCAGTCTGGTCCAAGGGGCTGAAAACCAGAGCCTCTTCTTTGAGCCTTTATCTTCCTCTGCAGACAGAGTTCTTGGAAGTCAGTCAGCTGTCCTTTATCCCAGACCTTGGCGCCAAAGGACTGTGAGTGCCGTATGCCCCTCACTTGATCCTCTGCAAACATCTGGCGCCTGCTGCCTGCAATGAGGAAGGCAGTGCGGACGGGATGTGGGAGTGGATTCCTCATCCAGCATCTTTTCCTGATTTGCTCCCCAGGGAGGGAGTGATCAGAAAGCGCTCAGGCGGCCATCGTGTTCCTGGCTTCACCTGCTGTGGCCGAGACCAAGTCTGTTATCGCTGGTCCAAGAGGTGCGATAGCGCTGAGCAGCAGAGTGATGGGGGAGAGGGGAGGCGTGGGGGAGGATGAGAAAGGAGGTCCCACTAGGTGGCACAAACTGAGTCCTTCTGCACCAGGTGGCTGGTGGTGAAGGACTCCTTTCTGCTGTACATGTGCCTCGAGACTGGTGCCATCTCCTTCGTTCAGCTCTTCGACCCTGGGTTTGAGGTGCAGGTTGGAAAAAAGAGCACAGAGACACGATATGGGGTCCGGATCGACACCTCTCACAGGTGAGGCCTCCTGGTATAGACGGATACACAGGAAGTGAACGGCCAGACAGAAGTCCTAAAGAGAGTTGAGTGGAAGATACCATGGAAGAAAGGAAGGCACATTCACTGCTTTGGGTCTGGCCAGGATCTAGAATCAAATATTTGGAGTGGCTTTGAGAGCCCTACCCAGAGAAAGAGTGTGTAGTATAAGTTGGGTGGTATATCCTTTTATAGAATCACACTTTGCAGTGCTCAGAGGTCACTCCTGGCAATGCTTAGGGATTAAGCCAAGGTTGGCAGCATGCAAGACAAGCACTTTTACTCCTCTACTATCTCTCTGACCCTGTGAGGAATAAACTCTTGATGTTTTAAAAGAGAAGAAGAAGAAGAAAAAAAAAAAAAGCTGTTCTGCTCACTCATGTGTTCATTAACACCCAGGAACCCGGCACAATATTAGGTGCCAGGGGTGTACCTGCCTTTGGACCCACCAAAGGCAGATATATGCCCTGCCTCTATGGAGTCACTATAGAATTAGGGGCTGAGGGAGTAAGTGGGAAAGAGGGGACAGCTATAGTGGAAGAAATGTCTGTGCAAGTCCAGAAGTCTGGGGATCAAGGATTGTCCTCATCTCATTGTGTCCAGGTCCCTTATTCTCAAATGCAGCAGCTACCGGCAGGCACGATGGTGGGGCCAAGAAATCACTGAGCTGGCTCAGGGCCCCGGCAGAGACTTTATACAGTTACACCAGCATGACAGCTATGCCCCACCTCGGCCCGGGACTCTGGCTCGATGGTAAGACACTTGCATCCCTTCTGAACTTGTCTAAATAAGTTGGTGCTTGGAAGAGTCCTCGATTCTGCTTTCTCTCCTCTGACCCTTTTCGATCTCAGTAACCTCTTTGACTTCTCAGATTTCCTGACCCCCTGACCTCCTTTATCTTTCTGGTACCCCTCTAAACTTTCTGATTCACTAAGTTATCTCCATTGACCCTGACTTATCAGACTTCCATAACTTTTGTTTTACCACATTGACCCTCTTAGTTCTCTATGATATCAATTCTCGGGTTTATTCATTTAACAGATATTTTCCAGGGCCAGGAGAGTGTAGTGGTCAAGGTGCTTCAGCCCCTGGTATCCCATATGGAACCCTAAGCACTGCCAGGTTCCTGAGTGCAGAGCCGGGAGGAACCTCTGAGTATTGCTGAATGTAGCCCCAAATTTTTTAAAACAAATTTTAAAATTAAAAAAATAAATATTCTTCAAGTACCTACTAGTACCAGGCTCAGTGTCTAGCGTCCACAAGCGGTCCAGCAGAGATTCAATTGCCAAACTGTGGTAGTAGATAACGGTATCAGATTCAGCCAATAGTAATGGAGGCAGTTACCCTGAGGTTCCCCTTAGCAAGATAAAAAAATGGGGAAAAGCGGCTTAGGCAGAGCTAGAGACAGCTTGGGAGCCCCCAGTCCTGATTGTTCACGCTGCTGAGGAGCGGAGTCTGGACTTAGCAAAGCCTTAGGCCCAGATGCTTAGCTGAGCCAGTTGGACTTTGTCACACAGAGCGGAGGCATGGAAGGAAGTATTTTCTTGGAGGTGGTGTTGAGATTTTTTTTTAAGCCTAAGAACTAGTAGTAGTGGCTAACACTTTGAGGTACTTATTATGTGCCCAAACTCTTCCAGCATTGTGTGTGTGTGTGTGTGTGTGTGTGTGTGTGTGTGTGTGTGTGTGTTTGGTTTGGGGGCCATACTTGGCAGTGCTCAGAGATTCCTTTTGGCTCTGCATTCAGGAATAACTCCTGGTGGGTTTGGAGGACAATATGGTGATTCTGGGGTTGACACCAGGGTTGGCAGCTTTCAAGTCAAACACCCTACCCACTGCACTATCACTCCAGCCCTTTTCTCAGTATTTTTTTTTGTTTTGGGCCACACCCAGAGATGCTCAGGGGTTATTTTTGGCTCTGTACCCAGAAATCACTCCTGGCAGTGCTCAGAGAACCATATGGGGAGCAGGGGTCAAACCCGGATGGGCGACATGCAGAGCAAATGACCTACCTGCATTGTTAGCTTTATAACATCTTACTGAGATACTGCAGTTATATATTCATGTAACTGATAAGAAAACTCAAGCAGGGAGAAGTTAGATAAGTTGCCCAAGGCCACATATCTTACACACAGTGGGATCAGAAGATGTCTGGACCAAGCCTCTATTTCCCCCTGCCCTCTGATATCCGGCCTTAGGCAAGCAAGTGGTACACTGTCCCACTGAGCAAAAAAAGAGAAATACGTTAAGTTAGAAATGAAAGTTCTTATTCACTGCAGAATTCTTCACCCCAGTCTGTCCTTCCCGACATGCCCTCTCAACAATCCCATTTCTCTCCCCAGAAGAAACCCTAGCAACAGTTTGTGATTTTTTGTTTGTTTGTTCTTTGGGTCACACCCAGTAGTGCTCAGGGTTTACTCCTGGCTCAGCACTCAGGGATCACTCCTGGCAGGGTTCCGGGGGACCATATGTGAGACTGAAAATCAAACCCAGGTCAGCCACGTGCAAAATTAGCGCTCTACCTGATGTACTATCTCTCCAGCCTCCCTGGCAGCAGTTTGATATTTATCCTCCCAAATATTTTTTGTGCATATTTAAAAAATTTCTTACTAATATTTTGGGGTTCACACCCAGTGGTGCTTAGGGCACTGTGCTTAGGGATCACTCTTGGTGGTGTTCATGGAACCATATGTGGTGTCAGGAATTAACCCCTGGATCAGCTGTGTGCAAGGCAAACTCCTTACCTGGTACACTTACTATCTCTCCTCCCCCCCCCCCACCGTGTTTTTTGCGGGAGGTGGGGGGGAAACTTGGCAGTGCTCAAGGGAAACTTTTGGCTCTGTGCTCAGGAGTCACTCCTGGCACGCTTGAGGGACCATATGGGGTGCCAGTGATCGAACCCAGGTGGGCCACATACAGAACAATAGAACAGAACCACTATTCTCTGGCCTCATCTGCGCCCTTATTTTTCATTTAATTAATTAATTTATTTATTTGGGTGGGGGCACACCTGATAGTGTGTAGGGGCTACGCCTGCCTTTGGGCTCAGGGATCCCCTGGCACTGCTTGGAAAACCAGTTGCAGCACAGGGGATGAAGCCAAGCTACCGAGAGTATTCGATATGCCAAACACAGTAACAACAAAGTCTCCAATGGAGACGTTACTGGGCCCGCTCGAGAAGCTGGAGTCAGTCGCACGCAAAGCAGTGCCTCAACCCCGGTACTACTTCTCCACCCTCCCTGACAATTTTATTTTGATTTTTGTGTCACACCTGGTAGCGCCCGGTGTCTACTTATGGCTTAGTACCGGGGATTGCTCCTAGAGGTGCTTGGGGGACCTTGCTGTGCTGGAAATTGAACGCAGACCTCCTGCATACCAGCATGTGCTTGAACCCATTGAGTTATTGCCCCAGCCATTTTCTACGTATTTTCATATACACACGTGCTACTTTATGTTCATTGTAAATGAAATAACTCTTTTGTGACTTCTTTCCCCCACCAAATACATGTGTTAGAGATTAGACATTTAGGTTATTTCACATTTTCACCCATATTAAACAATGCTGCAACAGTCTTGACCTAAGCAAGGAGATATAGTACAACTATCCCTGGCACTGTATGTGGATCCCATGAGCCTGCCAGGAGAGATCTCTGAGCACAGAGCCAGGAGTAAGCTCTGAGCATAGCCCACTGTGGTCCCAAAACCAAAACAAAAAGTTTATAACCAATGCATTTGGTGTGATATATTCCTAGAAAGAGAATTCTGTGCGCATTAAATGATATTAAAGGACATGTATATTTAGTATTTTTATAGATACTGTTATATATACATATATTCTCATTATATATGAGAATATGCACTCTCCCATATGTTAATATTGATGGTATAAGATTCTAGTTTTTGCCACTCTAGTGCATTTAAAAACTATTATTTTGTTTTGATACAATTTCCTTGTTTACTATTGAATATCTTTTTCTATAAATAACCATATTTATTCTCTGAGATGTCAGTCTGTCCATTTTTCAGTAGACTGTGTCTTTTTTTACTGATTTGTTAGAATTTTTTATGTACTATGTACTCTCCTAATATTTAGTCATTTTCATTTATAAAGACCTTTTTGTTTGTTTTTTTTGTTTTTGGTCCCCTGGTGGTGCTCAGGAATGAGTCCTGGCAGAATCAGGGGACCATATGAAGTGCCAGGGATTGAACCCCGGTCGCCACATGTAAGGCAGATGCCTTACCCACTGTATTATCTCTCCAGTCCCCAAACGTTTATTTTATTAATCTTTTTTGGAAGGGGGCCATATCTGGCAGCGCTTAGAGCTTACTCCTAGCTCTTTCCTTAGGAATCACTCCTGGCAGGGATTGGGGAACTGTATGGGGTACCAGGGATTGAAGCCAGATTGACTGTGTGCAAGGCAAGCACCCTACCTGCTGTACTCTCACTCTGGGCCTAGGGTTTTGTGTGTGTGTGAGTGTGTGTGTGTGTGTATGTGTGTGTGTATATGTGAGTATGTGTCTTTTAAGGGCATACCTGGCTGTGCTCAGGGATCACTCCTGGTGTGGGGCTCAAGGACCCATATGGGATACCGAGTATCAAACCCAGGTCATCTGTATTTGGACTGAATTTTTTTTTCCTTTTGGTTTTTGGGTCACCCCTAGTGATGCTCAGGGCTTGTTCCTGTCTCTGCACTCAGGAATCACTCCAGTCAAACTCAGGGGACCATATGGGATGCCAGAGATTGAACTCGGGTTGGCCGCATGCAAAGCAAATGCCCTATCCACTCTACTATTGCTCTAGCCCCTTATGAAGTTTTCAAAAAAATATATCTTATACTTGCAAATTTATTCCACTTTGTTATAGCTAATATTTTAAAAAATTTACTAACTTATTTATTGTGTGCGTGTGGGGGGGTGTCCTTGGGCCATACCCAGCTATGTTCCTGGCTTACTACTGGCCCTGTACTAGAGAATCACTCTTATGGGGCTTGGGAGTCAAAGCTTGGTTGGCCGTGTGCAAGGCAGCACCTTACCCACTGTACTGTCTCTCCGCCCCTGCCATCTGATACTCTCTGACCTTCTGACCATTTTCGACTCTGCTCTCATTCTGATCCATGACTATCCTCTGATCTTCACTCTCCAGAGCTTTCTGGCTTCTGACCTCCCTGACACCCTTGGCTTGGCCTCCCCTCCCAGGTTTGTGAATGGGGCAGGCTATTTTGCTGCTGTGGCAGATGCCATCCTTCAAGCTCAAGAGGAGATTTTCATCACAGACTGGTGGTGAGTTGGCGGGGGCACTGCAGGTAAAGCTTAGACAAGGCGAGCAAAATAGGCTGTACATAGATCATCTTATGGGCTAGAGGAGGCAGTAAAAGGGTAGGGGTGGTTATCTGGGTCTCAGACTGTTTCTCACTCCCTGCTCTGAATCCTAGGTTGAGTCCTGAAATATACCTGAAGCGTCCAGCCCATTCAGATGACTGGAGACTCGACATTATGCTCAAAAAGAAGGCGGTGAGAGTGACCAGTGGAGGGAAAGTGTGATGGGGGAACCTGAGTGGAGGTTGGTTAGAAGTGCAGCCAGGGTAATACAGAGACTTTGAAACTTCAGAAGGAGAAAATGTGTCCATCTCACTCAGGGTCTGGCAGATATTGCCTCCTCCTGGCCCCCTTTGCCTTAAAAACTGGGACCTCCCTCTCTCTGCCCCTCCTCTCCCTGATAGAGACTTTCTTCCAGTGTCCATGATACTATATTGTGTTATCCGTGAATAGACACATCTCCGATTAATAGTTTGAGTTCCAGTGTCTGGGAACAATGTCTGCCATATTTGGGCACTCACAGCTATTGATGGAGAGGAGGAAAGATACATAGATAATGGAAAGAGATAGGTGGAAGGATATGAGAGTGGCCAGGCAGGTCATTTGGAGGGTGGGTGGATGGATCATGGCTCACAAGGGGATATGAGTAAGTGGTCTGGAAGGTGGATGGATCGATAATAAAACTCAGGTGTTGCTGTATGGGTGGGCGAGCAGAGAGACGACATTCAGTCTAGGTTTGCTGTGAGCATCAAAACTGGGCACAGGGTCAGCAATGAAGGGTCTCCAGGCAGGATGCAAGGATGGATCGGGGAGAGGCGCTGGGGTCTGACTTCCTCACTCAATGCCAGGAGGAGGGTGTCCGGGTGTCAGTACTGCTGTTTAAGGAAGTGGAGTTGGCCTTGGGCATCAATAGTGGCTACAGCAAAAGGACCCTGATGCTGCTGCACCCCAACATAAAGGTGACTCAGCCCTCAGAACCCCCTCACACTCTAGTCACCCTCACCACATGTCCACATCACCGCACCTCTCTTCTTCTTGAATAGCTCTTGCTTTCTTTGTCGTTCCATCCCCCCACTGCACCTCCCTGTTTTTGCTCATCAAAGCCCATCCTCATGAACTCCTCACACTTGCTCCAGGTGATGCGTCACCCAGACCAGGTGACACTGTGGGCCCATCATGAGAAACTCCTAGTGGTAGACCAAGTAGTGGCCTTCTTAGGGGGGCTGGACCTCGCCTACGGCCGCTGGGATGACCTACACTATCGACTGACTGATCTTGGGGAGTCTTCTGAATCGGTTACCCCACAGGTAATTTCCTGAGACCTTTCTGAGCACCCCAACTCAGCTCACCCAGGTCAAAAACCCTTTACAATCTCGCCTTTCCTGGCTAGTCATTCAAAGCGCTTCCTGCCCTCAGAGTCTCTGAACCTTTTGGGGACACAGCAGGATCATGCAATGATCCTGTCCCTTCCCCATTTTCTCCGATTGCCCCCACCCACCACCCCAGTTCCTCCAGGGACATCACATGCGGCTCAAGGGGAGATTTGGGCATCAAACTCTCTTCTCTCTTTTGGGGGGGGATGAGGGAGGCAAACCTGGCAGGACTCAGGCCTGATTCCTTGTTCTGCACTCAGGGCTTTTTCCGGGCCGGGGACCATGTGTGGTACTGGGGATTAAACTTGGGTCAGACACGTGATCCTTGCTTTGTATGATCCCCTTGAGCTCTCTTTGCCCCTGGCTTGTGTGTGTTCCCCTACAGCCTCCCACCTCCTGCCCAAACTCTGCAGCTACCTCAGACCTCTCTAACAACCGATTGTTCTGGTTGGGCAAGGACTACAGCAATCTTATCACGAAGGACTGGGTGCAGCTGGACCGGCCTTTTGAAGGTGAGGGACCCCCTTCTCCAAATCCAAGGTCTGGGAGCAGGGACGAAAGCTGGGCCTGAGACTGAGAATGGGATGAGCTAGGTCAAGGATAATGCAGGCTTCCCCTGGCCATTTCCACCTCCTTTCCCTGCCCAAGTGTTCCCGGCAGGCCCTCCCTGACTTCTCTCATGATTCTCCTGGCATCTCCAGATTTTATTGACAGGGAGACCATGCCTCGGATGCCATGGCGGGACGTTGGAGTGGTTGTTCATGGCCCCTCTGCCCGCGACCTTGCACGGCACTTTATCCAGCGCTGGAACTTCACAAAGGTGCTCGCTCTCTCCTGTAGTGGGTCAAGGAATGGAGGGAGCCAAGGGCGGTTCGTCACTTCCCACTGACTGCCGTCCTTTCACCTTAGACTACCAAGGCCAAGTACAAGTCACCTGCATACCCATACATGCTGCCCAAGTCCACCAGTACTGCAAACCAGCTTCCCTTCACTCTCCCGGGGGGGCAGTGTGCCACTGTGCAGGTGAGCCTCTTGGTTTCAGACGAGCCCTTTCTCCTCGCCCTTCAACAGGATGCCCCAAGCTGGTCCCCTGACCTGAGTCAGGACTCCCCCTCTGGCGGGGTCAGGTACATTGTATCTGCCTTCCCTCAGGTCTTACGGTCCCCTTGAGCTCTCATTGTATCTGCCTTCCCTCAGGTCTTACGGTCAGTGGACCGCTGGTCAGCAGGGACTCTGGAGAACTCCATCCTCAATGCCTATCTGCATACCATCCGGGAGAGCCAACACTTCCTTTACATTGAGGTGGGTGGCGTGGGGACCGGGGAGCTGCAGGGACTGTCCGCCAAGGGGAACTTTGGATGTCAGTGGGATCACTGGTGGCTAGAGGGAAGAAGCTGGACCAGGACCTGGAGCACAGAGTACATGGGTGGGGGTGGCAGGGAGCTTAGGCTGGGGGCAATAGCCCAACTGCTCATGTCTGTTTCTGGTTCCTACTCTAGAATCAGTTCTTCATTAGTTGCTCCGATGGGCGAACAGTTCTGAACAAGGTGGGCGATGAAATTGTGGACAGAATCCTGAAGGCCCACAAGTAAGGTGGACTGGCTGGAGGGTAGAGACTGTGGGCGTGATTTCAGCCCAATCAGAGGGGTTGTGCTCTGGGTCCAGGTCACACCTCTCATCTACCCCCCTTCAGACAGGGCCAGTGCTTCCGAGTCTACGTGCTTTTGCCCCTACTCCCTGGTTTTGAGGGTGATATCTCCACTGGTGGTGGCAACTCCATCCAGGCTATTCTGCACTTCACTTACAGGTGACCTCCAAGCCAGACCGGCTTACTGCCCCCATCCCCCCTGTGTCCCCCTCCTCGCTGGCCCTTTCCTGCTGGAAGTTTGAGCTCCACCTTCCTCTCTTTTTCCCTCTGCATCTGTTCTCTTTTTTTAGAACCTTATGTCGTGGGGAATACTCAATCCTACATCGCCTCAAAGCAGCCAGTGAGTGCTGGGGTCTGGGGGTCAAGACCTGTACCCTGGAAAGGAGGAGAGTGGAAGGGCTGCAGGCCTCGGGGTGGAGGGAAGGAGGCCGTCATTCTCGCATACCACTGGGGCTCTTGCCCTGAGAACACGGGGTGTCTTTCCTTCAGGGAAGAACATGGCGAGTAGGCTGCACAGGGCTTCTGAAGTGAAGAGGTAGGTGGGGGGCTGGTGGACAGAAGGACCTTACCCCAAGTACTTCCTCTCGCATCTCTTACACACAGTGGGGACAGCGTGGCGAGACTATATTTCCATCTGTGGGCTTCGTACACATGGAGAGCTAGACGGGCACCCTATCTCTGAGCTCATCTATATCCACAGCAAGATCCTCATTGCAGATGACAGGACAGTCATCATCGGTCAGTCAGGATCTGAGGGGCAGGGATGGGGGTGGGGGAGAGGGAAGAACAGGCCTCAGCCAAGGGCAACAGAATGAGGGTGAGAACTGAGCCTGCAGCTGAGGCCCAGGGAGGGGGATGGAGGGCTAAGAAGGTGTGTTGCCCCAAGGCTGGAACTCCAGCAATCGTGATGGTTTGTGGGGTGTTCATGGCCCAGACAGACATAAATATCCCACACCCACTGCAGGTTCTGCAAACATCAATGACCGAAGCTTGCTGGGGAAGCGGGATAGCGAGCTTGCTGTGCTGATTGAGGACACAGAAATGGAGCAGTCCCTCATGGATGGTGTGGAGTATCAAGCGGGCAGATTTGCCTTGAGTTTGAGGAAGCACTGTTTCAGGTAGAGCTGTCATGGGGTGCTACAATGAGTGGGGGAGGCAGGTGGAAAAAGGGCTTGGGTATTCCAGGATATGCCAGGGGGACCGCAGGCAGGTGAAAATTGTGTAATTGGGAGGCCATGGCACAAGTGGGGGCCAATTGGAAGGATAAAGGGACACAGGAAGGTAAGAAGGGTTGTGGAAGGGGCCACACAAAAATAGGTTAGGCTTTGAGTGCATGTTAGATTTCCGAGTGTGCAGACTAACCCTGTGCAGGGTACCAACAAAGTAGAGCACTGAAGCACTGTAGCACTGTCCTCCCATTGTTCATCGATTTGCTCGAGTGGGCAACAGTAACGTCTCCACTGTGAGACTTGTTATTACTGTTTTTGGCATATCAAATAGCCACAGGGAGCTTGCCAGGCTCTGCTGTGTGGGCGGGATACTCTAGATAGCTTGTCGGGCTCTCCAAGAGTGGTGGAGGAATCAAACCCAGGTCGGCCGCGTGCAAGGCAAACACCCTACCCACTATGCCATCATTCCAGCCCACCAACAAAGTATAGATGTAAAAAAAGAAATTTAGGGGCCAGAGAGATAGTACATTTGCCTTACATGCTGCGGACTTGGTTTGATCCCCAGCATCCCATATGGTCCCCCAAACACTGCCAGGAGTAATTCCTGAGCTCAGAGGCAGGAGTTACCCCTGAACTTTACTGGGTGTGGCCCCCCAAATATATTGCAAAATAATTTTATATATGTATTTGGGGTGGGGGACACCTGGTGGTGCTCAGGGGCTATTCCTGGCTTTATGTTCGGGGATTACTCTTGGCTCAAGAGACCATACATGGTGTTGAGGTCTAACTGTGCAGGGAGTAGGGGGACAGGCAGACAGAATCTTGAAGGCCCTGGCCAGAGGGTAGAAACTGGGCACGATTTCAGCCCCAACCAGAAGGGATGTTCTTTGGGCACAGTCCACACCTCCCAATCAATCTATCTCCAGTTGCCTCACGCTTTGGTTGGGTGGCTGTACACACCTGGTTGCAATACACCAGCAGTCACACAGCCTGTTGGGGCACTGTGTCACCAGGATCAAGCTTCCCATGTGGCAGTGCTGGGAATCAAATTCTGGGCCTCAGGCCTACAAGGAAGACTCTCTGCCACTGAGCTAGCCTGGGATGAGCCTGGGCTGTGGGTATGTGTGTTTTCCAGGATTGAACCCAAGGCCTCACACATACAGTGCCTGCATCTCTGCCACCGAGCCGCATCCCCTACCTTTTTATACTGTTTCACCGTTTAACTTTTGAATGACCCAGGGAGGCACACGTAATTCTTCACTATTAGAGTTTGCGAAAGATCTTAACTTGCTCTTGCCAATCCTGCAGCGTGATTCTAGGGGCAGATGCCCGGCCAGACTTGGATCTTCGAGACCCTATCTGTGATGACTTCTTCCAACTGTGGCAAGACACAGCTGAGAATAATGCTAGTATCTATGAGCAGGTGGGCTTTGAGTGGAACTGGCCTAAGAGGGATTTTAGATTCTCTGGTTCTAGGCCAGGGTTAAAAAGTCTGGAGGGTGGGGGTGGGGATGGAAGTGAGGAAAGAATCTCAAAGGATCCGGTGGCACAGGGTCAGTGAGGGGAAGTCTAGGGATTAGGGACTTCCAGCCCAATTAGGCTTGGACTCTCCGGAGACTTTGCCCAGCCTCATTGGTTCCCATGCCCCCCCCCCCCCCCCCATTTCACAGATCTTTCGCTGCCTGCCATCCAATGCCACTCGCTCTCTCCGGACTCTCCGGGAATACGTCGCAGTAGAGCCCCTGGCCACAGTGAGCCCTTCCTTGGCCCGATCAGAGCTCACCCAGGTCCAAGGCCACCTGGTTCACTTCCCCCTCAAGTTCCTGGAGGATGAGTCTTTGTTGCCTCCCCTGGGTAGTAAGGAGGGTGTGATGCCTCTGGAAGTGTGGACATAGCACTAGCCTCAGCTCAGGAGAGGTCACTAGCTGCTGGGTTTCACCGAGTCTGGCTCCCTGTCCCTAAGCCTAAGGACAGAGGGTAGAGGTCACTGAGAACCAGGAGACTGGAGAAGCACCCATTCTCGAGAAGTAGTCAAAGAGGACAGTTCCAACCTTGGGCTTGGGGACAAGAGGGTTCCAGAGATGCTCATCTTCCTTGCTGCCTAGTTCCAACCACTACTACGAGAAGCATCGATGCTGCCAGGATGTCTGCGCCACACCTGCGATCCAGGAGGCACGAACTCTGCTCTGAGCCTTTCCAGCTCTCCCTCCCTCCTCTGCCCTTGAATCCCTCCCTGCCCAAGTATCTCTCCCAGCCCATGGCTGCCAAGGTGGAGAGAAGGATGAAGCCACTTCGGGCTCCTGACCCTAGAGGGGGGAGAGGAAGTGGGGGCTGGGAGGGGGCAGTGCACACTAATTCTCCCCTGCAGCCTGCTGACAGACACTAACTTTATATCAATTCAATAAACATTTCATAGATAAACGCATCGAAAAGGTCCTTGCGTCTTCCTCCGAATCGAGTCCTTGTCCCCACCTGTGTATAGTGCCACGCTTGTTCACCTCCCCACGTTGCTCTCTGCTCCATCTCTGCTCTGTTCTCTGTACGGATCCATCCTCTAACTGCTGGGAGCAGAAAGTGTTTTCCCAGTGCCACCCAAGGGCCAAACCAGGATACCAGACGCCGAGCTGCTGGCGAGGGAGTCTTGGCAAGCTCCTTTCAAGTGGTTGAGGGGAAACACCCTCAGAGGATTGAGGCACATGCTTTGCATGCAGGAGCCTGGGGTTCGAGCCTTTTAAGCTACCTCTCTAGCCCTGACAACACTTCTTTTTGGTAGTGCTGGGATGTTGGGCCACACCCAGCAGTGCTCAGGGGTTGCTCCTGGCAGTGCTTGGGGGCCTGGGGATTGAACTCAGGCCTTCAGCATGCAAAGTATGTGCTTCAGCTTGTTGAACAATCTCTCTGGTCCCTAATGATATTTTTGTGTGGGGGCCATACTCAGTGATGCTCAGGGAATTATATAAGGTGCTGGGAATCAAACCTATCTCACAGACCCCCCAGAAGCATTTCTTACCCCCACCAAAGAAATGATACTAATTACATGTTTTCGTTTTTTATTATTTTATTTTTCTTGGGAGGGCTATACCTAGTAGTGCTCAGGGCTTTACATCTGACTTTATGCTCAGGGATCACTCCTAAGGGGGCTTAGGCGACTATATGTGATGCCAGGGATCAAACCTGGGTTGATTTTGTATAAGACAAACTTCCTACTTACTGTAACATCTCTCTGGTACCTGACATTTCTTAAGTTGAGTAGCACTGTAACACTGTCTTCCTGTTGTTCATCGATTTGCTTGAGCGGGCCCAGTAACGTCTCCATCGTGAGACCTGTTGTTACTGTGTTTGGCATATCGGATACGTTATGGGTAGCTTGCCAGGCTTTGCTGTGAGGGTGAGATACTCTCGGTAGCTTGCCGGGCTCTCCGAGAGGGGCACAGGAATCAAACCTGGCTTGGCCAGGCCGGCGGCTTGCAAGGCAAACACCCTACTGCTGTGCTATCACTCCAGCCCCTAAGCTGAGTAGTTCTATCATATATCGAATATATATTTACATATGATATGTTCATATATTTTTATATATCTAAAATATTTTGCAATTAGGAATAAAATTATTTGGCAGAGATTCTGGTTCTTACCCTTCACTCCCCAAGTTCCATTCTCCAGTCTCTTAACTGACTGCAGGAGCATGATGACACAGGGTTCGGGTTTGTTTGTTTTGGGGTTACACCCTTCTGGCTCTGCACCCAAAGATCGCTCCTGGTGATCTCCAGGGGAGCTTTTGGGGAGTGCCAGGGATCGAACCCAGGTGGCCTTGTGCAAGGCAAGCACCTTACCTACCTTCTATATTATCTCTCCGGTTCCACATGAAGGCACAAATACAGTAAGTTTAGGAAGTCTTCCTGGAAGAGGGGGATTGTGAGGAGGGATGACGACATGGAGAGAGGTGATGTTGCCTCACCTGCATCCTCTCCTTTGAGTCATGTCTCTTGGTATGAATTGGCATTCTGATAATTAGCTTCATTGTCAGCACTGAGTGTCTCTTTCCCGAGGAGCCGACTACCTTATTATCCAGAGTGGGGTAGAGGCACCAGTTGAATTGTCCCAGGCTGGATCAGGGGCTTCTATAGGAGGAACAAAGCTTCATATGCTGTGTGAACGTATCTTTACCCCCTCCTCGTTAGTCCTGACATTGAATTAGGATTTCCCACCAACTTTTGGTGCTAGGGATTGAACCTAAGACTTCACGCATAAAAGGTCTCCTGCTGAGCTATATTCCCCAGATCTTGAATTTCTTGAATAGAGACACCCCGCCCCCCTGCAGTGCAGGGGAGGAAGTAAAGGGATTTGAGGAATGGGCTTAAGAGCCAGGAATATAGCTTAATGGGTTGAGCATATGCTTTTCTTGTTTTTGTTTTGGGAACACACTCAGTTGTGCTCAGAGAGTATTCTGGATTCTGTGCTCAGGGATCTCAGGGAGGTTCTCAGGGGACTATATGTGGTACAAGGGATTGAAACCAGATTGGGTACATGCAAGGCAAGCGCTTTACTTGCTATACTATCTCCACCCCATGCATATGCTTTTCACGTACGAGGCATAGTATCCCTGGTACCATGAGGTCACTAACCCACAAAGAAAAGTGGGCTGGGAGGCCGGAAAGCTTGCACATGGCCTACCAGATTCAATCCCAGCACTACATTTGGTTCCAAGCGCACCACCAGGAGTGACTCCCGAGTGCAGAACAAGAAGTCAGTTTGGAGCACAGCCAGGTGTGCTTCTGCACAAAATTTTCTTTTCTTTATGTATGATCCTGAATTCTTTCATCAGATTGTCTGGCTTTGTATTAACTAGTATGGGGAGTTGGCTCAATGGGTGAGAACAAAGGTTCTTTTTGTTGCTTTTTGGGGGGGAGGTCACTCCAGGGAGTGCTCAGGGCTTACTCCTGACTTTGTGCTCAGGGATCATTCCTGGCTGTGTGTGTGTAGCTATATGTAGTGTCAGATCAAGCCACCAGGGTCAGCTGCATGCAAGGCAAGCACCTTTACCTCCTACTATCTCTCTGGCACATGCTTTGAATGTGGGTGGCTTGGGTCTCATTCCCAGAATTCCATGGTATCCTGAGCACCATCATGTATGGTCCCAAACCAAAACCAATTAGTATGACAATTATAGATATATCTATGTTTAAATATAAACAGATAAAGATGGTGAACCCTCATATAGCCAATGTAGTCATATTTCAGCTTCAATATTCTCAGCACTGGGACTAAGATTATTTCTCTACCCTTCCCAACCCCAGATTACACAGCCAAGCTTGGGTGGCTATATGTCCTACCTCTGTGATCTTAATTTGCTTATTCATTGATAAATATTTCTTTATTAAACACTCCATAAGTCAAGCAGTAAATTTGTTGAGGACCAAGTATACGTCAAGTACTTCAGAAATTTAATTTTATTCTTACCTGTTATTATCTCTAACTAAGAGATAATAGAATTGAACCTCAGTGAGATTAATGACTTGCCCAAAGCACTAGCTTTATATTGTTTTTTTGGGAGACCTCCCAAGTGGCATTCAGGAAGCCTCAGTGGGCCCTCCTCCTGGCAATAGGTTCAATACAAGGGCTGCTGGGCCTCGTGGTGCCCCATGGTGCCAGGCCACCCCAGCTCAAGGTGCCTCAATGACTTCTTTTGGAGATGCTCGGGGACCAGGTGGTGCTGCGGATGTAACTGGGACTGGCCACATAGAGGGCAGGTGCTTTAAACTCATATAATCTTTCAAGTTTCATTCGTGTTGGGTTTTTTTCCCTCCCATCCCATGGTCTTGACTTTGAATTACTGTATATCACATTGTCTACTGAGACAATTGTCATCTTCATTCACAGAATTACTGAATCTATAGCCAGGCTCTGTGCTGAATGAAGAGACGAAATCATTTCTGCCTTTAAGAAACTCGATAGACATTAACAATTCAGAGTGTTAAATATTACCATGAATTTATGCAAGGCAGCTAAACTGAAGAGTGAAACAGCCTTAGTGGGTCAAGGAAAACCTCCATGGAGGAGCTGATTTAAACATGTAAGACAAAGCAAAGGACCATGAGAGTGGGCACTCAGAGCAGGCACACACATTTCTTCCTAATGCTTCAGGAAGAAACAGTAAGTGCAGCAGGCATAAAAGCTGGAGGTGGCGATGTTAAGTTCCTGGGAACTGTGAGTAGAGTATTTCAATAAAATAATGCAAGGTTAAATGATGGAGCACTGAAAAACAAGGCAGGAGAAACAGGCAGATCCTTTTGTTTGTTTTGGTGCCATATGTTTATGCTCTTGGTTCTTTCCTCAGGAATTACTGCTGATACTGCTCTGGGGACCATATGGGATGCCACGGATTGAACCCAGGTCAGCTGCATGCAGGACAAGTGCCCAACCTGCTATACTATCCAGCCTAGAAACTGGGCAGATTTTTTTTTTTTTGTGATACCAGGCAATGCTCAGGGGTTGCTCTGAACTCAAAAATTACTCCTAGCGGTGCTTGGGGGACCACATGGGATGCTGGGGATTGAATATCGAACCCAGGTTGGCCTCAAGCAAGGCAAACAAATGCCCTCCGCTGTCCTATCACTCTGGCCCCAGAAGTGGGCAGATCTTGATTGGCCTCAGAAGCTACACTCTAGAGTCTATTCAGTGAGAAGCCAGAGAATATATTTAAAAAGGACAATGACATCAAGTTTGAGTTTTAGAAAAAAAATCACTGTATGGAGAACTGACTTAAGGGGCTAAGACGGGGAGCCAATAGAGGTGAGTGAGGCTTGACAAAGACAATGAATGGTAAGGTAGAGAGAAGTGTGGAGCAATACTGGATGTGAACAAATGAGCTAAGGAGTGAGATCTGAAAGGAGAGGGCCAGAGGTAGCATAGTAAGGCACTTGTCTTGCATGCAGGTGACCTGTGCAATCCCATCTCCACATATATCTCTGGAGTGAGCCCTGACTGGAGCTGAAGGGAGCTGGGTGTTAGCCCAGAAACTTAAAAACAACCCCCCCCCCCAAAAAAAAACCAGGAAAAGAAAGCAGAATGGAGATTTTTAGTAACCTTCAAGGACTTTTTTTCTTTTTTCTCTTTGGTTCAGTACTTAGGGGTAACTCCTAAAAGGGTTTAGGGGACATAAGGGGTGCTAGGGATTGAATCCAGGTCAGCTATATACAAGGCAAGTGCCCTACCTGTATACTATCTTTCTGGACCTCCTTCAAGGACTGTTTATTCAAGACCTCAATGTGTGTCGGGTCCTACAGATTTAGGAAGTGATACTGGAAATCAAACAAGTTTCCCCCTCAACTTCAGTGACAGAAAGACCCAGAAAGGGCTCAGACCTCATGTAGTCCCCTGAGTCCTGCCAGGAGTGATCCCTGAG